ATGGCATACTATGAGGAGAGATGGAAAGTTCTAGTCCTGCGGACCTTTGTGGTGGTGGGACCTTGAGGGCCCTGTAACCTCCTTTTCTCCACAGCAGCGATGGAGACACAGACAGTGTTAGCACTATGGTGGTCCATGATGTTGAGGAGATAGCTGGGACCCAGACCCCATTCGGGGGAGGGACCATGGTGGTCCAGCGTGTGAGTGACCCTCTCCTGCTGCTCTCTTCTCACTGCCCACTGTGCTCACCATGCCCACCTCAGCCTCAATGCCAGCCCTGCCCTTCTATTCCTTTAGACCCCTGAAGAGGAGCGTAACCTGCTGCATGCTGACAGCAATGGTTACACAAACCTGCCTGATGTGGTTCAGCCCAGCCACTCACCCACTGAGAGCAGCAAAGGCCAGAGTCCCCCCTCAAAGGATGGCAGCAATGACGTGAGTGGGAATGCAGAGGCTCATGGGAGAAGAGGGCAGGGATCCTGGGGGCTCTTCTGGGGAGGCTTTGTGTGGGTAACCAAGGTGGACCAGTCTTTCCCAGTGTGGGAGCTGGGGCCTAGGAACAGCATGGGGTGGAGTTGCCCAGGTCTGCCTATTTACCTGACTAGTGCCTGCCCTCCCATAGTACCAGTCTCGTGGACTGGTGAAGGCCCCTGGCAAGAGCTCGTTCACAATGTTTGTCGATCTTGGGATCTATCAGCCCGGAGGCAACGGGGATACTATTCCTATCACAGGTGAGGGCAGAGACCTGGTCTGTGGGGGAGTGGCTGGAGGGGTACACAGGTGTCCTGAAGACATGCTTTACAAGGTACCATTGTCATACTGCCCTTGTATGGAAGCAAGGAAGGCTCTGGAGATCCCTTCAGCAAAAAAGGAGGTGTGCTCCAATTGGCCAGTGGACCAATAGCCAAAAGCTCAAAATTAATGAACAGCAAACTTTTGAGTATAAGTTCAGTGTTCTGTCCAGTTCTCTGTATAGCTAGGCTGTTCTTTAGTCATTTCCTTTCTTTTTGAACAATCTAAGGAGCTAAGGCCAAATAGGGGCCTGGGACAGTAAGAGACAAGGTGTAGAGGGCTGTAACCCAGATTCCTCTCCTCTTCCCTGCAGCCTTAGTGGGTGGAGAGGGAAGTCGGCTCGACCAGCTACAGTATGACGTGAGGAAGGGATCCGTGGTCAACGTGAATCCCACCAACACCCGGGCCCACAGTGAAACTCCTGAAATTCGCAAGTACAAGAAGCGATTCAATTCCGAGATCCTCTGTGCAGCCCTCTGGGGTAAGGCTGGGCTGGGAGGTCAATGATTTCTGGGATGACCCTCATGCCCTAGGTCAGGTGAGGGTCTCTGATCTGCCTGAGGGCTGCTATTGCAGGCGTCAACTTGCTGGTGGGCACGGAGAATGGGCTGATGTTGCTGGACCGAAGTGGGCAGGGCAAGGTGTACGGGCTCATTGGGCGACGGCGCTTCCAGCAAATGGACGTGTTGGAAGGACTCAACTTGCTCATCACCATCTCAGGTCAGTGTGTGGGGTACGTGGTGGAAGCTAGTGCCCAGGAGGGCTCCTCTCCTGTCGGTCACCTTCTTTTGCCCAGGAGGAGGGCAAGGAGCCGGGAGGTGGCGTCAGCAGAGAAAGGATGATGGGGAGCCAAGGATAGACCTCAGCAAGGAAAGGAGTGTATGTGTTCTTTCAGGGAAAAGGAATAAACTGCGGGTATATTACCTGTCATGGCTCCGGAACAAGATTCTGCACAATGACCCAGAAGTGGAGAAGAAGCAGGGCTGGACCACTGTGGGGGACATGGAAGGCTGCGGTCACTATCGCGTCGGTGAGGCTTGAACCATGATGGGCGAGGCACCTTGCTTGTGGGCAGAAACTGACAAGGAATGTCTAGGCTGCTGCTTGTTATTAGATGTTATTAAGTATGGCTCACGGTGGCCTGTGAACAACAGATCTGAGCCTTGTCCTGTCCTGTGCTGTCCTTCTCATCTCTGACACACTTGAGCCCTTTGTGGTGTCAGTCCATCTCATTGGAGGTCTTCCTCCCTTTTGCTGACACTCCACCCTTCAAAGCATGATACCCTTTCCAAGGAATAGCCTCTCCTAGCAACATGCCCAAAGTATGTGAGACAAAGCTTTGGCATCCTTGCTGCCAAGGAACATTCTGGTTGTTCTTTGTCCAAGACAGTCTGTTCTTCTGGCAGTCCAGGAGACATGCAGCACTCTTCTCCATCACCACAGCTGAAAGGCATCCATCTTTTGCCATCCTGAGAAAGTCTAGGCTTAGTGCCTAAAAAAGTATTGTGGCTAGAGACCTTGGGGACCTGGGGCAGGCAGTGACAAATTCTGAGGCGTGGTCTTCAAAATTCTGTTCTTTTCTGCCCTCAGTGAAATACGAGCGTATCAAGTTCCTGGTCATTGCTCTGAAGAGCTCTGTGGAGGTGTATGCTTGGGCCCCCAAACCATACCACAAATTCATGGCCTTCAAGGTAATCCCAGCCCCACCCTCCCCCGATGCATCTGGAGGGGCTCCCACCCCTCTGCAGGCTGAGCCCTTCTCTCCCTGCAGTCCTTTGCTGACCTCCCACACCGCCCCCTGCTGGTCGACCTGACAGTGGAGGAGGGCCAGCGGCTCAAGGTCATCTATGGCTCCAGTGCCGGCTTCCACGCAGTGGACGTTGACTCGGGGAACAGCTATGACATCTACATCCCTGTACACGTAAGTGCGGGTTGGGTAGAGGGAGCGGCACCCTTGATGTGGCCCCAGATACAGGACACCAGCACACCTTCTCCTCCCCCAGATCCAGAGCCAGATCACACCCCATGCCATCATCTTCCTCCCCAACACTGATGGCATGGAGATGCTGCTGTGCTACGAGGATGAGGGCGTGTACGTCAACACGTACGGACGCATCATCAAGGATGTGGTGCTCCAATGGGGAGAGATGCCCACCTCTGTGGGTGAGTGAAGTGCCCACCCCGAGGTTGCCCAGGAATGAGACTAGACCACAATCTGTTCACTTACCCCTCAACTGTTCTCGCTGCAGCCTACATCTGCTCCAACCAGATAATGGGCTGGGGCGAGAAAGCCATTGAAATCCGCTCTGTCGAGACTGGCCACCTGGACGGAGTCTTCATGCACAAACGAGCCCAGAGGCTCAAGTTCCTTTGTGAGCGCAACGACAAGGTGGGAGGCTTGTCCCCTGTAAGGCCCCTGTTCTTAGTTGGGTCAACTCCCATGACCAGGTCCCTGGGTAGAGTTTGGGGGAGGGCATGGTTTGCTGTCTTCTGGAAGGGGCCTCTGGGAGCAGAACACAGCATGAGGTTAGCACTGTTAGTGCTCTACTTGGTCCCCCTCCCAGGCCTGCAGCTACCCTCCTGTCCAGACATTCCAGCCTTAAGCAAGGGTGGGCAGCCCCTGGAAATCACTCTGCAGTCTTTCTCCTGCTCTTTTCTATAGACATGCACTCTCTCCTCTTTCCTTCCAGTTTACTTGTGGAAACCCTCCACCCGCCCCCAGACCCTGGTGACCTCTTTTTCTACTCCACCCCAGGTATTTTTTGCCTCAGTTCGATCCGGGGGCAGCAGCCAAGTTTACTTCATGACTCTGAACCGTAACTGCATCATGAACTGGTGATGGGCCCTGGGCTGGGGCTGCCCCAACTGGACCCAGCTCTCCCCTAACAGCCAGACTTCCCAGGCCGCCCCTCTTTCCCTTCCCTGGGCTTTTGCTTTTACTGGTTTGATTCACTGGAGTCTGCTGGGAACGTGACCTCCAACCTGATGCTTTTGTGATCACGTGACCATCCTCTTTCCCAACATATTCTCTCCCTGAAACTGTGCCTGTCTCCATCTTCTGGGGACAGGCATAGCTTCCCCTTACCAGGCATTGAGTGGGCACAGTCTCTCCCACCTTTCCTCTCCTTGAGAGGAGAGTGAGTGGGCTGGGACCCCTTCCCACTGCTGCTGACTGGGCAGGGCGTTGGGCCCCTTCATTTGCACGTCAGGGGAGCCGGCTCCCCCCTTGAATGTACCAGACCCTGGGGCGGGTCACTGGGCCCTAGGTTTTAGGGGGGGTCACCAGCCACTCCAGGCAGGGGCAGGGACCATTTCCTCATTTTCTGAAAGCACTTTAATGATTTCCCTCCCCCCAAGCCCCAGGGAATGGAGAGGGGACCCCGCCAGCCAAAACATTCCCTCTTTCCACTCCCCATCTCCTAGCCTCAGCCTTTCCTGGTGGCGGGAGGGAACTGGGAGCTCTCACCCCTCCCTCTTGCTTGCATCTGTATATAGTGTGAGCAGCAAGTAGCCCCTCTCCCACCCCACCCCTTCTCAATGTAGTGGCCTTGGAAATCCCGTTTGTTAATAAAGACAATTCAACCAGCTCCCACCATTTCTAGCCCCGTTTTATTCTTTGTTTCATGACCTGATGCTGGCTGAGGAGATCCTAGGGAGTTAGAGAGGGGGCAGGGTGGGTATAGGGTGCCCTGAATTTTTCTAAAAAGAGTAGGGTGAACCACTGCTGAGCCAAGACAAACCTAGAGGAAATGACTAACAGAGGGCAGGACATCCACAGCCAGTACCCTCAGGGCTGTGTGATCAAGCAACATAGAAGGGCTTTGGGTCTGTCCCCCTCATTCCAGTCAGGCAAGAATAGGGCTTTGGGCTCCAGCTGCCTTGTGGGTAAATCTTGCAAGGGGTCTCCACTGCTGAGCTGTCATATGGGTAACACAGTTTAGGAGCCCACTAGACCAGAGCTTGAGGGGCTGTGGGGTCTGAGGAAATGTGGGAAGTCACCAGGGCTGAATTGAGAGTGAGTCTTGCTTTCTGGAGGATGGCCCTTCTGCTGACCCCTCCAAGGTCATATGACCTACATACCTGGACACACACAATCCCTCGAGAATTCAAAATAAAGTTTATTACCAGCTGTAGGAAATGATCACTTTTGTTCTTTCCAAAGTTCCTGGAGGAGATTTGAAGGTAAAGGTGGTGGCATGGGTCCAGGTCTACATGCATGGGGGGAAAGGCAGTCTGGGCACCTGGTTGAGGAAGCCCCCAAGGAAGATGAGGCTGGAACCCACTCCAAAGAGCACCAGCGCTGCCCAAAAGCAGATGTTGTCCAGGGCCTTCCCCATTTGCACCCAGTCAGACACCTCCTGAGGAAAGTGGGCACAGCACTGTTACAAAAGGGGGCCTGGCATAGGTTGGCGACCCAAGAGGTCCTCTGCAGGCCCACCTCGCCAGCAGCCTCCTGCTCTCGCATGCTCTCGGCCACGAAGTTCACTGCATCCACACAGCAACGAACTTCAGGGGCTGCGGCGCCCAGGCTTTGGCAGAGGGCAGCTGGTGAGAACATGGAGTGGATCAGAAGCACCTCATCCCTGTAGGGGACCACCATGGCCACAAGTCAGTACTCACCTGTCCAGGTCCCATGCCGGTGCCGCTGCCCTTCAAACACTAGCTCGCTCCGTGGCTTTTTCAGGATCAGTTCCTCAGCGCGGAGCAAGATACCCACAGAGGATGCCCGCCTCGGGGTCTCTTGGGCCTGGGGGGCCTCGTGAGGTGACCCAGAGCTCAGGAGGCGCGGCAGCAGTTCCAGTAAGACCTGAGGCGGGACCAGGTGGTGTGGTGGGTGAGGAACTCCCAGCCTTTCCGCCCAGGGCCTCCCACTCGAAGCTTACATGGCGCAACCGCGGGGACGTGGCGTGAGTGGTAGGTGTCCGCAATGACACATTGAGCACGATGACGCAATTCATGACAATGAGCGTGGCAACCACCATGACGAAAATTAAGTACCTGAGGAACCCAGGATGCATGATGTCACAGTATCTCGACTCAACGGATGTCACAGCCTGTCCTCTGACCTCATAAACACTTTTCTCAACACAGAGGTTGGAACTATGTCCCTAGTGGGTCCCTATCTGCAGAGCCTGGCGCCTCCCCTGCTCTTCCCCTCCCTCCAGGAGCAGCCATGAAGGGGAACCCCAGCTCTCTGGACACCCTGCTGTGGGTCTACCATTTCCACAGCTCCACCGAGGTGAGGTCCCCACCCTGGTAATGGCACTTTGAGATTGTCTAGGTAGGTTTCCACACCTCCCCACATGACCCTTGCCCTTAAACCCAAGGACTCTACTCTCCTGGCTCCTTCTCCAGGTGGCCCTCCAACCCCCACTTCTATCATCCCTGGAATTGGCTCTGACTGCAGCCTATGAATATCTGGAGCAGAAATTTGGAGAAATGAAGTCTCTGGAGCTGCAAGAATCGGAGAACTCACAGAAGCCATCCACCCCGGATCCCACCCTAGGGCTGGTGCTAAGAGAAGCCACGGCCAGCGTCCTAAGTTTCGGTGCCACCTTGTTGGAGGTGGGGTGCTGAGGAGGAGATGGGAAGATAGGGTGGGGGGTAGGCAATAGAGCAGGCACCTCTACATCTCCACTAAGCTCTGCACCCCTACTGCAGATCTCAGCCCTGTGGCTGCAACAGGAGGTGTGGCGACTGGACAGTGGCACCAGCGACCTGGACCCAGCCTCAGACTCTGGAGATCCAGGTGGAGCGCTGGCCCGGGTTGCCCAGGTCGCAGCGCAGGGGGCACGACAGGCAGGAGCTGCGGCTGGCACCAGCACCCGGCTCCTCCTTCAGGGGGCTTGGCTATGCCTGTCTGGACGAGGTCTGCAGGAGTCAGCTTCCTTCCTGCAACAGTGTCAACACCAGCTGGGTCTCGGATCCCCAGAGGAACACGTGAGTGAGACGTGGGAGGGGGCAGGAGGCCCAGGAGGAGAAGGTGGTGGTGGTCATAGCCATGCAGAACTGCTGAGCTGCACCGTCCCCCATCAGAGACACTCAGGAGACCTCAAGGTAGCATCCACCAGCAGCGCAGAGGATGAAGGACCTGAGACTCCACCACCATCCCAGCTCTAAGGCCGATAAAGCCCTGAAGCTGCCAAGAGCCCTTTGGTTTTGGTGTCTCCTTCTGCGCCCCACCCTCATTGGCCCCGCCCCAGGCGCCTCCCCTTACGGCCCACACTCTTGGAGAGGTCACTGCTGGGGCTGGGTCAGTACTTACCTGCCCAGCAGCGGCACACTTAGAGATGTCTCAGGGATTTTCTGGGCAATTAGGAAGAGAAAGACAGTCTGGGCGAGAAGGACGTTGATAGAGACGGTGCATTTCTGGCCACCAGCTGGAGGGGGCACCCGGTTAGAGCTGGTACTGGCCTCTCCAGAAGCAGCCTGGGGCTGGGGCTTGGGGCGACTCTTTACCCTGCGCAGGCAGGAAGTAAGCAAGCAGCACTAGGCCGGAGATAAGCACGCAGGGCACTATGATGTTAATGACGTAGAAGAGGGGCTTCCTGCGTATGATGAGCGTGTAGATGACGTCAGTCTCCCCCACGCTGTCAGCTGACCCTCCTTCGTGGTGGCGGATCATCCCTGGGCAGAAGTCTATGGCCCACTCGCCATTCTCTGCAAAGGGGGAGGGGGCATCAGGTCGCTCTGAGGATGGGGAGCCCTGCGCTACCTTCCAGCCTCACCTGACTGAAGCCGAAGAGGATGGATCTGTCTCAACTAGGGTGAAGTGGGCAGGATGGGGGCACTTTGGGTAGAAAGTTAAGGAAAGACCTCCTGAGGGGTGGCACGGCCAGTCTGACAATAGAGAATGATTTCGGGAAAGAGGTAATTTTTTAGTCAATCCCTGGTATTGATGATCTGAGTTAGTCCTACTCTGAAAGCTCACGAGCACCAGGTTTTGCGAAGCAGGAAGGGGCTTCACCAGTGTAAGCCTCAGTGTCGATTTCTATCTTGTTGATGGTCTCGCCAGCGTCATCCACAGCAAAAATGAACTCCACCTCTTGGGCATTGTATGTTTGAGATCTGTGGAGCAAGGATCCAGATCCCTCTCTTCACGCAGTAGGAGTCTAGTTTGAGTCCTCGCCCCTTCACACAAGCCCCGCCCCCCGCAAAACACCACCCCTTGCCCAAGCCACGCCCCTGGTGCGGTTCCGCTCCTCCCTACGAGGTGCTAGGTGTGGCGTTTGAAGCTCCACCCCTCTCTCCAAGGCCCACCCCTTTTCCCTAAGCCCCTCCCTCCAATGCTCAGGGAGTTTAGAGCCCCGCCCAGTGGAGAAGTTTCAGTCACCTCCCTTGTGCAAGCCTGACTTGGGCGGCCCGCCCCAAGTGCCGCCCACAGCTTTTGTCCTCTGGATAGCTCTTCCCACCTGAACACGAGGGAGCAGTTCTGCCAGTCGAAGGGGAAGTAGGTGACTTCCACCGCACAGGTGCTGCGGTAGATGGCAGGGGGCAGCCAGCTCACGAGGCCGCCCTCATAGACCAGAACGTTGGCGTCGTAGGCCACGCCAAACTGGCCGTCAATACTGTGGGTCCGGGGAATCAAGATTTGAAAATCTGAGCCACCATCCTCCAGGGGCCCTCCGCCCCTCCTGGGTCCAGCCTAGCCCCCAGGCCTCTGATCTTTTCCAGGTCCAGTGTCAGGCCTTGTCCTCACTTGTTTTCTAGCACGATCTCTGGTAGCCACACGAGTTCTGAAGGGACCCGCAGGGTGTCTATGCCCCCGAAGTCTTCCTTGCTATAGTTGAGTCGGTAATCTTGCCAATCCTAAAGAGTGAGGGACAGAAGGACTTCTGCCCTGTGGGTTCCACCCCGTGCCACAAGAGAGTTTGGGAGAAAGACGTCCCTGGTTAAGACTGCCCTCGCCTTTGACTCACGATTCCAATCCAGACACTGGAAGTGAGGGTCTCTTCCTTCTCATTCTGCAGACAGGAAATTGGGGTAACTGAAGTGGGATTTCAGGGCCAGAGCAGCATTGGGGCAACAAGTGGGATTTGGGACTCAGAGATAGGCCTCTGGGAAGAGGCAGTGCTTACCAGTGAGATGAGATTGGTCAATGTGACCTTGATATTGATGGCGACAGTGTCCTCAGGCCCCCTCACTGGTCGGCTTTTTGGATCATAGTTGTCAAAAAGATGGTGATAAAGATCTAGCTCCTGGTTCTTCCCTTCACTGCTGCCTGTGGAGAGCGAGGAGAAGGGGGTCTCTTCTCTGTCCACTGGGTCTGCACAGGTGGCTACTGTGTCTCAGTAACCCAGGCTGTGTTTTCTAGTGTCTGGCACCACCTGCGTTAATGTCATTAAACCTGTGCACCGAGCACTATGGCCTGATTTCCTGTGGTGGTCTCTGCTTTTGCCCTTGTTCCTTTTATTTCTCTATGTATCTGAATGCCCGCCCCCGACCCACATCCAAACCTGGGAGCCCCAAGAGGAGCAGGGCGCAGAGCAAACTCACTGCCATCCTGCCATCTGGGCCTCAGGGTTATTCTGAGCTTTGCATGCTGTGTGTTGGGGAGGAGGGTGTTAGTTCCGGGCTGGGATAGGGGACTGTCACCTAATACTCTGCCCACCCCTGCTGGCAGCCAAGGACATCTTTCTGGCTGCTTCTAGAAGCAACTGCTCCACCCCGTGTGCCCTCATCCCAGCAGCCTTTTCCTGATCTTCAGCCAACCCCTCAGCTACAGATCTGAGCTTTCCTGAGTCCTTCAGTAACCCTGGGAACCCTAACCCTGCCTGTAAGGGATGACACAGACTCTGCTTTTGGTACACGCTGGTGTCATCTGAGTAAAAAGCCCTGTAGAGGTGATTCTGCCTACTGAACTCATCTGTGCCTCACACAGCTACCTACCTGTACAGCATGTCATCACCACTCACGGCCTGGCCAGGGCCACACAAATGCAGCTCCTGCCGACAGAGTTTGGCAACAAGCATTCTCCCCTTGAAACTATACCGGATGCAATGGAGTCCTAGTGATTCCTAGTGATCGTACAGAACAAGGGGACGTTCTCCACCAGGTTTCCAGGCTGTCCCTGGCGAGTTGTGCTGTGAACCGAAAGGCTGAGTGACTCTGGCGGTTAGATTCCAAGGCAGGTGGACAATCTCCATCAACCACGATTTACATCCTTGGAAAGTCGGTGGAGTGTCACTGAATCAATGGCAGCGACTCTGAGTTGGGTTTTATGGAGGCCATGTTCGCCAGGACTTCTTGCACATCACCCTGAAGACCTGGTGATAAGACCCGCAAGGAGCCCTGGTGGTGCAGCGGTCAGGCACTGTGTCAAGAATGATGTGACACTCTGCCCCCGTAAAGATCACAGCCTCAGAAACCTTGTATTACAGTTGTGCCCGGCCCTGACGCTCCACAGCAGTGCATTTGGTTCATTTTGAGATTTAATGATACAGGCTTTGCATTGCAGAGATAGCATTTGGCAAAGAAGACAAATGTCACAATACAAGGCCTGTGATTTCCCTCAACTTTGTTCCCAGGTCCCAGTCGAGTGTGGGCAGTAGACATGCAGGTTTCTCCTCGCCTCTCTCTGCTTCCACCTTGTGGCCACTGATGGTAATGCTTCCCTTCCCTCGCACTTAGCGTTAAAGTCGGCTTCTTGGGCCACCTTAGAGGTTCACCGGTGCCTATTTAAAAAACAGATTCCAAAAAATAAAATACAGACTCTAACTCCGAAGGAGTGACCTCTGGTGGGTAAGGAACTGCCCTGCCAACCCAAATGCAGATAGTTCGGATCCAACAGCCACTGAGCTGGAAAAAAGTGAGTAATCTCCCCTGTCATTTACAGCCTCTGAAAGCCCACTGGAGGGTCAGCTAGGAGTCAGTTCCAATTCAACAACACATAACATTGCCGAAGAATCTTGATCTAGAAAAATGCTGGTACCTGCCAGAATATGTTAATTGTGATTTTAAGAAAAGTTTACAGAAAAATTGGATTTTTATTTATTCATTCATTGCTGTACAGTCCCCCCCAGTTAACTTTCTTTTTAAAAAAATCATTGTTGCCCAATTTCCTCCCTTTCCCCCATCTCCCAGTCCACTTTGCAATGCACCTCCTAGTCTGAACTATTGTCATGTAAATAATGCCTAATTCTATTTAAAAAATTCTTTCCTTCATCTATTCCAATACAATGTTCATTATCTATCCCCTCTTTTCCTTCTTTCTCCCCAGAACAACCCCATGACAGTCCTGTTTTATTACAGTGGTATTATACAATATTTATCCTTCTGTGCCTGAGATCTTTCACTTAGTAGAATGCAGTGATTTTCACTCAAGCTCTCAAATACATAGCAAGTGATCAGAAAAAGCATGGCCTGAATCAGATGCACCTTAGTCCTCAAACTGACATCAGCCCTTCTCAATAATTTGGAGAGGTCCCTAACTGCAGTTTCCCAACTCAGTAAGTCTCCTGACTTCCTGACTGTTCGTACCAAGTGTGTTAATTGTGGATCCAAGTAAGATGAAGTTGTTGATAGCTTCAGTCTATTTTCCATCCACCATGGCATTGCCTATCAGTCCAGTGGTAAGAATCTTTGTTTTCTTGACATTGAAATGCAATCCATACTGCAGGCTGCCTTTCTTAATCTTCTGCTGTGAGTGCTTCAAGTCCTCTTCACTTTCAGCCAGCAAGATTCTGCTATGTGCATAATGCAGGCTATTGATGACTCTCCCTCCAATGCGGATGTCACATTCATCTTCATAGAGTCTAGCTTCTCAAATAATGAATGCCTTTTAATTATTATGTTGGAGAAGAGCACTGTAGAGCTAAAAACCCAAATATGTCTTGGAGGGGATACTTGAGAGTAATCTTTGGAGGCAAGGATAAGGCTTCATCTCACATACTTCAGGCATGCTGTTCAGGAGTACATTCCTAGAGAGGAGCATGATGCTTGGGAGGATGAAGGAGAGAAAGATAACCCATAAAGTGGATTGACATGGTGACTGCTACATTAGCTCTAGTGTGTCAGGAAGTGTTAAATGGCATAGGATAGGATGGGTTCAGATGTGCTGTTGATAGGGTCATTATGAGTCATATTCAACTCAATGGCACCTACCACAACAGTATCCTTTAGGGTCACCCATGTTGTGTAATGTATTCCATTATTTGAATGTACCATAGTTTTTCTATGCATTCATTTGTTGATGGACACTTGGGTTGCTTCCATCTCTTTACTATTGTGAATAATGCAATAAGAAGCATGGGTGTGCATACATATATTTGGATGGCAGTCCTGGTTTCTTTAGCGTATATTCCCAGTGGTGGAATTGCTGGGTCAAATGGTATTTCTATTTCCAACTTTTTGAGAAAACACCAGACTGCCTTGCATACTCGTTGCACCATTTTACACTCCCATCATAGTGAATAAGGGTTCCAGTCTCTCCACAACCTCACCAGCATCTGTTGTTTGCTGCTCTGTTGAACTTTGCTATTGTTGTTGAGGTAGGAATATGTTTTTTTTAAAGAAGCTTCCTAGGTATTCCTCGTGGGATAGGAGGAGTTGGCCTAGCACTTTTGATGCCTTACACATTGTTTCTTTACCCCAATCCATATAAAGTTTACCATTATCCTGATGTATAGAAGAGGATAGGAAGGCTGAGGTCCAAGATCACATATGTAGTTTTTAGTCTTGCATGAGGTTATCAATGAACTTAAACACTTGTGTGCTACTTTATACTTCATTCGAACTTTCAAGTTCATCATTTAATTTGATATATTCTTTTTTTTGTTGTTGTTGTTAAAATCCACCAGATTTATTGACATTGTTCTTTCTGGGGGCAATTCACTAAGTCAGTTTGTGCACAGATTGTTGGTCTTCCATCAAAGTGGTGGCTACATGAGGCAGCAAGCAGCAGCTTAGAAGGCTAGTACAACTAGCCACATTAGTACAACTGCCCCACAGTTACGTCAGTCCATGATCTAGACCATGCTTTACGCTCTTCAGGGTCCTTCTTTAGAACCTACTCCTTGGAGTTTTTTCAAGCCCCTGCCCAAGCCAGAAGGTGCCGGATGCTTTGTGAGCTGGACAGGTCTAGATGTTATGGTCATGCAGTTATTGTTTCCAATGTGCACATCCTGGCACCCATACAGGACAATAGATTGCTGGCGTGATATTGAATTTGGGTCTGGGACCCAGTGGGACCAGCTCATGCCGTGTCTATCACCCCTGGTACCATTGAGTCCCAGGACTTGAAGCCCAAGCTGAGCGGGCATTGGGCATCTGGGTTCTGACAGGCAAGGGCTCTGAAGTTTTGGGAAGTTGGGCAGTTGAAGCTACTACCTTGGTATCCTGAACCTGCTCTCCCTGTATGGTCTTCTTAGGAAGACTCGTATTTTTCAGGAACAGGGCTTGGGTCTTCCTCCAGGTGCAGGCTGTTCAGGCTCTTGGAAACTGTGGAATCATTCCAGTAGCACAAGGCATCCATTTCTGTCCTTCCTGTGCTCAGAAAGAAATTCCTTAACATGAAGACTGTATCATCCATCTTGTTCTGCACCTGAGAGAAGGCTTTAGAGGTTTCTGATTGACAATCCTGAATAGAGGGCCTGTCTTCGGGTTTAGGACTCCTACATCACAGCATTAGCTTCTTCAGCCCTTCCAAGCCTGGAGTGTTGGGCCCAGGTTCTGGTAGTTCCAACAGAGGGGGCCTGACCTGATAATCATGTACTGCTGTCGTTACCACGGATGTCTGGACCTTGATCTCAGCTTCCTGCTATCACTGCCCACATTAAGGTTTCAAAGTTGTAGACATCACTGCTCAATGAGACCCTCTGCTTTACATCAGCCAACAGCTCTGGAGCCAAGTACTTAGGGTGCCTCCTTGCTCAGTGGACCCTGCCCTTGACAGTGACTCTCCCTGAAATGTTGACAAGCCAAACTCTGCTAGCTTGACATGGATCTCTTGGTCCAATAGAACACAAGAAGGCTTAAGGTCTCGGTTTAGCAGGACTGGGTTCAGGTTGTGCAGGTAACACATCCCCATCACAATCTCATTCAGGAGGCAGCTTAAAAGTGGGCAGGGTTAAGGGCAAGAAGATTGCAGCAGCCCAGAGAGGGAGCCATTTTCCATGAATGGCGTCACCAAAGCTGGCCCTGACACACTGTCCCATTCCAGTTGCTCAGTGTCTCCTACCAAGAGCAGCACATAGGAGTTTCATAGGTGTACCATGGCCTTCATCTCTTGGGGGAGAGCGTCTTTGAGTTCACAATCTTGACTGCTAAATCGATGCTCCATTTCTTATGTTGTTCCCGGCACACAACATCGAACCCTTCTTCACCAACAAATTTCCAGTTCTCCAGTTCCTCAACGGGCAAAAGAGGTGCTGAGCACTGCCGGGCTATAACTTGGACGACATCAGACTGGAGGGTGCCAGAAGCTTCCAGAAGGAAATAAATCATGAGCCTTTATTGGAGTGACTTTCGTGGAGATGGCTGCAAGCTGCAGGCTATTTACTTCT